TTCAAATTCACCTTTTTAGCYACAGAAATCTAATAGTTTCTAGTATTTTCTCTATAAGCACTGCAAGCAAAAGGACTCAGTGGAATGTTTATCTCTTATCTGGATATTGTCATTTTACTGTCTCAAACTTCTTAAAACAAGCTTTTCACTAGGGAGGAAATCAGTCAGCATCAGACCTAGTGGGGAAACCCTGCACTTGCTCAATGTCTATGGCTCTTACACAGTTCCAGATGTTCAGAACATTAATAATGCACTAACTCAAAACCTCTTTTTGAAACTTTAGAATGTGCAAATTGCATTAAAACCTCTTTGCCCTCATTAATGGTATTGTTACAATCCCCGCACTCTGGAAAATGTTTTTTGGCATTTGTTTAACTTTGTGATATTGCCATTTACTCATTTTAACAGCCAGTGCTCAAATCTTAATGCTTTTAATAGGCCTGGCTAAACAGACTACCATCTTTTGTAAATTTATTGAAGTAATTTATTAAATAAGTAAAAGTTGTCAGAAGGCAGTTTTTTTATTGATGGTAGAAAAATGGGTTTCTTATAATTTATTTACAAAACTCTGCCACAGGAAAGTTTTAGAAATGAAAATATTCTGTTCTTTTTTCACCATTATGACCATTTCACTCCTGGCCACTCTGATGCAGACTTCTTAAAATTTTGTTTCTAGCCACTTTGCACAAATCAGTTAAAAGTTGCAGTTAAAAGAAAGGGTGCCTGTCCTAAACCATGAAAAGCCAGACATTCAGAATTAATACTGAAACCATATCCCCTCCTCAGCCTGTCATATATAGGGGTGGCACATTTATGTCCAGGCCAGGAGACAGTATATGCAGGGACCTGGGCTCATATCCAATGCAGACACACTGCTGTGCAATGCTAGAAGAGTGCAATAATCCGAGGTTAAACTGAGGTCCYTTCCTTTCACTGCAAGTAACTACCTAGATGGAACTGGAAGATTCTCAGAGGCTGCTTGAAAGCAACACAACCTAAACCCTTTTTCCCGGTCAACACTGCTCATGGAGTTAAGTGGAGTAAATTAATATCGTTAAAGCTTAAAGTTGTGTAATRCTGACAAGAATGGTAAGTCAACAGAAGAGTAAGAGTTTTCTATGGCCTCAGTACACTTTTGGCTGATACTTTCCTGAAAAGGAAGCCAAACCACTAATAATAGGTGTTTCAGTTCAAATGCAGTTGCTGTCATCCAGTTCTCTGTTCTTACTGAAGAAAATATGATCAGTCAAGATGTGTAAGAAAATGAGACTGACYGAATTCCAATTCTGAACTAAAAGCTCCAAAAACAGTAAGATACAGGAATTAAATGAGAATTGCAGCATTTAAGTGAAGAAAATTAATATATAAGTATCGCTAAACCCATGCACACAGTCTGCAAGGAAAATGGCAAATGCAGTGCAGCATTAATTGGTCTGCACCTACACATGAACAGTTGGGACTTCCTTACGGACACAGCGCAAGGCAATGCCAATTTATGAGGAAGGGTATCTGTTAGTAACAGGACTGAGACTGCCAGATGTATTCAAGAGTGAGTACTGAACAGTCAGGACCCAGATCGATTTACACCAAACCTCTCACATTGCTTATTTTGCAAGGAAAATTGCCTCAAAAGTAAGAGGAAAAACAGTCAGGTTATGCTCATTATCTTGAGCTCGGAAGCGGTGGAAAAAATAGCAGGAACCGGTTTGTGCTTTAGACATAAAGCATGTTTTAGAAATAAAACAGCCCCTCACTCTGCATATCAGGCACAAATTTTCTGGAGAAAGGGATGGGTCGCTTCTTCCAACACCAGCCATTCAAAACCAGTTACTGGGTACCTACCGCCAACAGTAACACATCTGAAAATGTTTTTGTCTGAATACTGATAAATGGTATCCTGGGCACTAGAGCACCAAATAAAACTGAGATTAGGGGGGAAAAAAAAAGTCCAGAATGAAAACAAAAAACATCATTTGTATAGAATTAGACTTTTCTCAACCGTTCACATTGCCTGAAGCTGAAACAAGAAAGTAGCTCCCTGCTTTCCAAGCCCATACTACTGAATCAACTTCACATACTCTACAAGAGAAATGATGAATGACTTTTAAATCAAATAAAGCCCAATCTAATCTAGTAATTTATGTTTTGCTGAGGCATGAATATTAAAAAATGCTTTATCTTTCTAACAATAGCAAATTCTCAATGCTATTCTTGCATTCTGCACATTTGGATTAAAAAAMAATCCTTACCTACACTCTTGCAAGTACTATTCAGCAAAACAATTTAACCTCCCGATTATTTTTAGTCTGTCATCTCCTTGTTTGTTGACTACTTCTGCTAGATTAGAAATTTTCTTGTATTTAGAAATCTATTAATTTTTGATTAAAAGGTATAATTACTAGAAAAATGATAAACTATAAAAAAATTTACATAAATGTTGCTTTCGAGTTATGGGTCAACAATTAGCCGACAAGTTAATCAACAATGGCTATCAGAAAAAAATAACACTATTATCCAAAGATTACAACTTATTTTGTTAAAAATCTACTAAAGAAAGGTCAGTTTATTCATCATGATGGATTATCAGTAAAATTTATAAGCATTAGCATTTTTCTCCTTGCTAGATACCTTGACTTTGATATGACACATATTGAATGAATCATCCAAGATGCAGGCACCAGGCAAGATATATCTTAATGCAGACAGGTCGGCGACATCAACCCTAATGGTCCTTATCTTAATCTTGTTTAAAAGCATCTTAGATTTCTGAGTAATCTTTTCACCTCCTGATATTCTCTTTTATAGAGTGTTTTTGCTGGAGTTGCTACTGATTTTAACGTAAATACATTTTTGTTTCATAGTATCACCAGTTTATTTTTTTAGTAATGCTAAAATATATCTTAGTTTGCAAATTAGTAAATATAAGATTAAGGTTTTTTCATGTATGTTGAAGTGATAGCACTTCAACTACAGAAATGCAGATTTGTATACTATTGTTGGTTACTCCATACGTGAAACATGGCATCACAGCTCTTTATAAAACAGTTYAATGTATCAGATGAAGAGATGAACATCCGACATAAGACCTGAGCTGCTCTTACTGCTTTCTGCTTTTCTCCTTCTCCTATAGTTGCCTTATTACACAAAGAAAAAAATCAACAAAAAAGGGGGGTAACAATTGAACTATTTTAACAGTCGAAATATTGGCAGATATTCTTTATTCCTCATAGTTCCTCATGCTAATCCTACTAATTAAGGAAACTAATATTTCTGGATATTTTGACATGAAAAGTTTATGACTTTTTAACATTAAAGCACAGAGCAAAAGGAACAAAAGTGCTATTATGCATGCTATATATACTCTATAACTATATATAACTGTATAATATTTGTTTTCTCCTGTCTCTCCATTGCTACAAACTGTGTGAAGTTCTCCACCTCTGTTACCAGAGGCCACTGTTACACCCTCCTTCCTTTCCCTTACATTGAGGCCAAAAACCTTAATTCACTAAAAAGGCAAAAGCTTGCAAAAAGCCAAGAGCTATATTTCATTAAAGTGAATGAAAGTCCATGAAATTTAAAGTACACAGAAGTGAACGAAAGTGCATTAAGACGCAATTACCATTTCCAGGACTCTCTTAATTTACAAACACGGAAGTTAACATTCAATTTACTCCTTGAAYTGAGTGAATAATGAGCTGGATAGGATTAAACAATTTCTTTAAAAGCTGTACTTTTGTATGAGGTGCAGCAATTTCCCTACAAAAAACTCTGAAAAGCAGTTTTGAAATGCAAATGGCCCACTAAGTAGTATTCTGTATGACGAAGAAAGAAAAAAAAATCCTGCATCTCTGTACTAATATGCTTATGCTTACAACATTATTTATATTTTCAACATATTAATCTGTTAGGTTTAAAGGAAACCCAATGCAGAACAGGAGAATTGGAATGAAAAAGGGCAGCCGTGGAAAAATATTGGCAATATGATTTTAAAATATCAGCCTTCAATTGCCTGCAATTTATATTTATCAATACTTTCACTGGCTTCATGGAAGTGTTCCCACAAAGGAAAAACCACTCGTATTTAGCCAGGTGACCTTTCAGTGAAGCAGAAGGGCAGTGGGAGGGGGAAGGGGACCAGAGCAGCCCAGCAATCAGTCTTTCTTTATTAAATGTCAGCTGCAAAGTCTTTCTATGCTTTCCATTCAGATTAGTATTCGCATAAAAACTTTCCCAAGTGTTTGCCGGGCTCTGTATACATATATAAGATCCACGCTCACGTACTGCTCAACATTATATGCTTCCATACAGAATAGTGATGACAGTGAAAACTGAAATGTGTCCTCATTCAATTTCATTCATAAAATTAATTGAATTAATTGAATGAAAACATATTTTTGGTTTTTTTAAAATACACTCATATCTGGTAATCGGCTTATTTTTCCCCTCAAAGATGGTACATTACACAGTCTAATGTGGTCACCTAAYGGCTAGTGGCAGCAACTGCATGATAAAAGCAATTCTGCCCTTACAGGCAGCCAGTGAAGAAAATCATGAATCGCAGGAACTGCATTTAAATAGCAAAAATAACATGAAGATTTTGGACAAAAACAAAGAAAACCCTAAACACTTTCAGTTTAAGTTTTTGTTTTGTTTTGCTAATTAAAGAAACTTTTAACTAGGGGTACAAGACAGACYTGAATTATAGATTTATAATGCAAGTTTATACTCCTGGTCCTTAGAGCTAGGCACAAATAGCAGTAAGAACTAATGCAAAAGAAAGCAAAAGATGTATTTGAAGTACCATGAATACAGTAATACACGAAGATACTGTTCATGAAAACAAGCTTGTATGCCTGTCAATTACTAGATTCAAGAAATTATGATATATTTTGTATTTACATATGATGATACATATAACAAAAGGACAAAAGGTTACACAGTACACATCCTTTTTTTTTTTTTTTTTAAAGGAAGAATGTCAATTAAGATTTCCTTACCTTATAAGATGGTAAAAAACACAAAATCCCTTGGCCTATTGTCTGGCACACTGAAAGCAGAAGCGCTCCCACTTCATCTTGGAATTCAAAGGTCTCTGTATGCTGGAAGGTAGCGCAGAGCTTCCGACCATTAGGGCCTGCTCCAATGGTGCCCACCCAAACCTGGTGTATTTAGAATTAAAAACATTGTCATTTATATTGCAAGTTATGGTTTATTCTGCAATGGCGAGTGTTACACCTCAGGAAAGGGAATAACCCTGCAGATTTTTACCTGTGAGTTCCGAATAACATGATTCGCCTCAAGCTGAATAGAAAACTTGACACCAAGTTCTGAAGAAAACGAATCCATGGGAGAGAGCGTACCAGATGTCAGAACAATTGTTCTAACATCACTTAGGTCTGAAAAAGCCTGTGTTAGAGAAAGAAAAGGAGTTTAGACAATCTATACAATCATTTTAAGAGATCAAATGTATTTGTGACCAGTCAAGTTACATACATACAAGACCTTTTGCTTCACACTCAGCTTACCACAGCTGGATTCAAGCACCAAAAATTTAACATGTGGACTAAAGCTTTCTGCCGTGAATTCTTTTTATGTTTGGTCCTTGTAAAGAAGCCATTTGTATCGGAAACATCAGGTTGGTTTTCGTTGATCCAAGCGTAAGTTTGCTGCAAAGCAACTCTGTAGTCATCCGCATACCTATAAATAGATACGTAAATATTAATAAAAATAATCAAATTGCAATAAATTTATCTTTTTGAGTCAGCATTAAATTCATAAAATAACAAAGACAGTGTGGCCACAATGCATTTCCAATTTGAGCACAGAACAATTTAAGCAACATACACCTTAAAAGAGTAGGTATAGACCATATAGCGTGTAAAACAATGCTTGCTAGAAGTAGAACACTACTTTCAACAGTTGYTGGTTTCCCTTTTAGAAAAAAATAGTGAAGCTTTATTATAATTTCGAAATAAAAATGAGGTTTAAATCAGAAAGTTTTAGTAACTGCTGGCATTAATAGTAAAGACATCAGTGGTGAAATTGTAATTCCTAAGAGATAAAAAAATCTGTGCATGTTTAACTTGGCAATGCATCAAGAAAATTTACACATAACCTTCAAATAAATTTGTTCAATACTTGAATTCACTTAGGAATGCAAAAAAAAAAAAAAGGTAGTATTTAAATTAGTTCTCAAAAAAATTTTCCCACATAAATAGATTTTCCAAAGCTTCTCAAGTGTTTGGTTTTGCTCAGCAGAAGCCAGGAACCATAAAAGAGGTGTTGTACAAATGAAAGAGGCAATTTGGCAAAGCAGCAGAATTAAGGCAGTGTTCAGCAYGGCTACCTGGCTCCCAGCAGCTCCTGTTTGTGCTTCAGTGATCTAAAGCTATTCAAATATTCTACAAAACATATTTGCATTTATAAAATGAAAAAATGATTATCAGAGACCTATGAAATGCCCTTGCTTGAAATTCTACTTTATTTTTTTATGAACTAGGAAGGGGGGAAAGACAGCGGGGTTATGTATTTTCACTGACCTGCTATTATCTTTAAAAAGATATAAAAGAATCATGAACAACCCTTTTAGCACAATTTGAGTAGCAGGGCTCACAACTGGTATCTCAATAACTTCTTCTTTACCAAACATCATTACTTTGTCTTCCTTTTCCAGGACAGCAGCCAAATGTTTCTATAAGGGGAAAACTCCACATTAACAACATTCTAAATATCTTAAAACAAAAGTTAATACAAATAATCAAGATGTTTCTTTGCAACAGTAAGTAGGATAATCATGATGTTGTTTTAAAAGTTCTCCCCTAATACAGTTATGAAATCAGACTGAAAAAAAATTGGAAGGCAAAGCAGTCATACATTTAACGTTTGTTTTCCATATAAAGAGAAGCTTGAGAATAGTGCAATGTTTCAACAGTCAATAAATATGCAAATAGAAAGTACAGACAAGGTTATCAGTGACTAAATTGCTCAATTTAAATAAYTTTACATGATTAATTATATATGTTAAAACATCGATTTCATTCTCTACCAGCTCCAGTACTTTAAATGCTCCTGGTTTTCATCAGGTATAATTTTCAGACAGTGTTGTAAAATTGTCTTAATTTAAATGATGTGATAACATTTATCTTATGTATATTTCAAGATGTTTAATAAGATCATTATGAGCGATGCACTCTGCCATTCATTTAAACTGCCTACAGCATTACCTGTAGAATGGGAAAGGTAATACTTGTTATTCCCATGTCGTGGAAAAAGGTGAGCATTTCTTTTCCGCTCCAAACTTTACATGAAGTTTCATACCCTCTTTCTACTAGTTGACCTGAGCTCTCCCGTAACCAGCTGTAAGAAGGAAATCAGAAATAATTCCAGCATTAATTTTAGTGACGTTTAGAGATGCTCTCCAGTTATCAAGCCAATTGATTTTCCAAAATTCCCCCATGCTTTGACAATTTCAGGCTTCCTTGGTAAGACACAAATATTGAAGATTTCTTAACTATAAAATGACTATTCTTAGTATTTACACACAGTTTTGGTAGGTATACCAACAAAAAGTTCACACTTTAACTTAGCTACAGACGTTTGCAGCTGTCAAACCTGCAACTTTTTGAATTTTGAAGCTATTTCAAAATCAAGCAGCTTTATAATCCTCCTGACAATGCAAACTRTGACTGTTTTTTCTATAAACATGACCTAAGCATGCCGATGACCTCATCTGTTGCAGAGCTAATATTTTCTCTAACTAAATGTGTCTTTCATCATTTATTCAGTATTATAGCACTTCCACTCTGACAGAGCAGACAAGCTTGCTCCCTCTCTGGAAATGCCAGAGCTGCCTTTTCATCAACCAGCAGGAGGCATCAGGAAGACACCTGTCATTTCTACATCTATAAAATCACTTACTCATTATCAACAAAAGCAACGAGGCTTAGGGGACCGCTGTATTTCCTGATTTCTTATCCTGTCACTGCAAATAATCTGTTCAAAGGAACAATTAAAAGCTGTATATAAACATTAAAAAGAAGTCATTACATAGTTAAGAAATCTCACTCTACTGAACAAACCGATTTGTACAGGTAAGCCTGCATGGCCATCATGAGACTTGCCAGYATATCTCCGTGGTATACATTCAAATTCCTCAGAAAGGTCATTTTAGCACCTCATTGGCACAAGGCCCATGCTTAAGTGCTTTCTGGAATCAGGGCCTAGGATATTTGACTGAAATAAGATTTTTCTAATTACCCATGCTTTTGGCAAAGCCACGTCACTTTATGCAATAACATATTACCAATTACCGGCCATTTACACCCAGTCTTTTGCTTTCCAACAACTGTTTTTCATACTATTGGCAGATTTGCCAAGATAATCAATCTCAGTTTTTCTGATAATGTTAAAAGGCTTGAGGCAATCAAATCTTTAAGCCATGCCTTTCTGCTCTTTTACTAAAATTTTACATTTGAGACCATCACGGTAGGACAATTACCTTCAGAAAAAGAAAAAAAAAAATCAAGATGCTGTCTTACCTCTACTGTGTTTTATTTGATGCAATCCATAACCAGTCTATTGCATCAGTAAAAAGAAGATAATGTTATTTTTTAAAATACGAATTCATAAAATAAAAAGAGTTGCCTTACTTTGTCAGAGAACAGCACACAGCCCGTAGGGGCTCGTGATCCTTCTGCCTGATGTTGTTGTTGACCATGAGATCTAGCTCTTCTCGAGCAGATCTTAGTTGATTTTCTGTAACACTGTAGCTCACTGACTCCCGAGCAGAGTCCTCAATATTATGGGCTTCATCTAAAATGACTACTTGGCCTTTTAGATTAATATCCATCTATAAAACAAAATAATTGTCTAGTAAAACAGAGTAAAGCAGCAGGTTCCTGTCAAAAAGCATATTCTGCATCATGGTGCGTGGCACAGAAAGTTGTTTTCAGCTTTTTGATCAAATTTCTATAACAAGAAATAACTAGAGCAAAGAAAAATAAGCCCCATCTCAGTCTAGCTGGATATAATCTGAACCTGCTACGMTCTAACTCATGCATTTGAGACGTTTGCAAAGGTTTCTTTCTGTTGAAAGGAAAACCTATGTGACTAATCAGCTAAAATATAAGACCAATGAAAGTTTTACCTGCTATAAAAGATCCTTTTAAAAAGGGAAAAAAAAAAAAAAAACAGAAAAATAAAAACCCTCCAACATTGCTTTCTGCAGCTAATATTTTGAATACAAGTATTTTTGTTAACTGTTGCACCAACCACTATATCCTTTTTTAACTTCATTGTAATTTCAGTTTCTGCAATACTTCACTTGCAAATACACTTACGCTCTCTCGTATCTGTGGGTCTAGGAGATAATTATAAGGACAAAATACGATATCTGCCCCCAGCATGAGCTCCCTAGCCGCAAAATAGGCACAGGCACGAAGCTTCTTTCCCAGGCTCACAAGATCTTCAATGTCCCACGCTTGACATTTCTGATGTGCCAATTGTAGCGTATGATATTCGCTGAGTTTATGAACGCCATGATAATAAAGACAGGACTTGCCCTATAAATAAAAAAGGACAGATAGTTACAAAAAAATAATACAAAGCAAATTTAAATTCTCATCACTTTTATGTGYGTTTAGAAAGAAAACAAGCAAATCCTTGTTCCAAAAACTATAAATCAATAAAGAGCATTTTCTTCTCTCTCATCCATAAAATCAAAGACAATTCTGTCTTGGTAAGAACAGTAATCTAGCAATCATCAAACGATTGAAGAATTCAAAATCATGAATAATTACATCAAAGTACCCACAAAAATACTCACATGCTTTCCTTCCAGCAGCTCTACACACATTTCATTCCTGTTACTCGTACTACTAGATACCACTGGATGAATGCAGGTATAATCCCGGCTTGAAAGAATTGTCATAGGGACACCGGAATACGCTGTTCTCTTCAACTCTCTGGTGATTTGGGATATTTGCTTGTGTGTTCGTGTGCCAAAAAATATTTTGGGGATGGACGTCTGATCTCCATTTTCTTTCTTCTTTGCTTTACTAGGATCTTTTTCAGTCTCTTTTCCAGAAGAACAGGAACACTGATTGCATGGGTCAGAAGACTGCAAAAACAAACAAACACCCAAAACTAAGAAAGATCAAGATCAAAAAAAAAAAAAAAAAAAAAGCAAACAGGGCAAATTCCTTTATAGTCTACTTGGAAAATGCTTTCTGTGACGATTCAAGATAGCCTGGGAAATCACCAGGTTGGCCTATGAAGTTGCAAATGGTTTGTTTTTACATGTTAAAGTGTTTACAATACGTCCTTATGTCTAAAAATCTTAAGATACTTTCAGCAATCACTGGATACCAACTTTATCATAACCCAATCATAGGAAAGATTACAGCCTTAGCTGAGGCTGTACTGCTGCACATGAATAATGTAAAGGAACTTTTCACATGTGAATATTTAAGCACAAGTATAACCAGAAGCTTCTTTTAATTCCTGAGAAACACCATTTTTCAGTTCTTTCATGATCTAATGACATAATTATAATGATATAAACAGGACATACTGGAAAGACTTAGATAAGGTTATAAGAGTGTGTGAAAACAGCAGACAGATGAAAATCAAATAATTCTGAAGCAACCTTGTCAACATACATCTTCTACAAAAGGATAATTATTTTTTCTAACACAAAATAGTTTGTAGCTGGTTTTCAGTTTGGTAAATAACAATGTGTACTCGCCCACTCAAATATTGCCCCCTCTCTACTTAATTGTAATGAGCAAGACTAACGATTATAAACAAATGCTAAGTCGGGCCGCGTGTTACACCACAATACTGGGGATCAAGCTGTCTTTTAGCCTCCACTCTGGAGAAAATCGAGTTCATGTTACCTACAGTCCCACTCAGCCTTGTCCACCATTAAATATTACAATACATGATAGAATGTGAGTAAATGTAACCCTGCTGGAGCTGTCACTCACTGGGATAAAAGGTTCACTGATGTGCCAAATAAACAGGCCCTCCAAGCAGATAAAGTTACCCCCATGCTGGAATTGTTACATTCCCTTCTCAGGTTGCCAGTAACAGCAGATTTCATTACAGTGTGCTGCCACATTAAATAGCCAGTTCCAAATATCCTGCCTTCTATATCGAATAATTACTTATTCACTGAAAGGATAAAAAGAAGAGTTATGAATGGGGCTCTTGTCGACAGCGGAGCAGGAAACAGCTGACATATGGTATATGTTACATACGTGGCAATATTCAACTCAGTTTGTACTTGCACAGAAAAACGGAATGCAAACCCTACCTTGATATTTCTATTATCTACATTCTATTTTGCTCTTTTTATTTGCTTTTGAAATAATGGACATATTTGCATACTAACAACTAATATAGTAGAAGCAGAATCAACTTACTACAAAGATCTTAAAAAAGGCATTTATCTCTTCATTTTGATTGAAGACAGATTGGTCATGTTTTCAAAGGAAGAAAGAATATGCATAATTCAAAGATGCTAAAAATATCATTCATACTTCATAGCTAATGAGAAACTGCATATTTAATTTTCCAAATAAAAATAACAGAAATATATCAAGGCCAAACAGGCAACTATGCTGAAATAGTTGTTCTAACTGATCTTCTGCAATCAGACAACAGGAAAATTCAATTGAAATATTTACATATCAAAGTTCTTTTATGATAAGTTTTAAAAAATAATAATGTATCTTTCCTTAAAAAGATTTAAAAGTGTGTGTGTGTAAGGTTACAATATTTTACAGGTGATCTCATAAATTTTTCTTTAAACGTTTGAAATTGATATAATACTAGCTTTAAAAAGCACTTTATCCACTATTCCATCTTTAAAATATTACCATTTTAAAATGTTTTTAAAGAGAAAGTTGTAAACTCAGACTGATTTTCTAGTATTCAGTAAAAGCATAAAACTGCCATGCAGTAGTTATACCTTAAAATCACAGGTGCCATTAGCCCAGCCTAAATGTAATAGAATACAGGATGTTCTTTATAATGTAGAGAAACATTAAGAAAAAGGTTACAGCATAARGATTTCACATCATTTGCATTTTTGCATTAGAATTCTTTGTTATTCCTTAAAAATGATTTGGTCATTTCTAAATTTTATTTAAAATCAACTAATTCTGTATTTCTATGAAAGAAATTACTGTTGACATCACTTAGCAAAAACTGACATAATATTGTTAATCTCCCATTACTACTGAAAAAGCAAGGATGCAGAATATTTAATAAATGGACAAAGTAATAACTATTACCATGGCAGTTCACGTGGCAGCATTGCCTCAAAAAGTGTAACTCTTTAGAGCTGAAAAAATCTTTAGAGTTGAAAAGCAGAGAAGCTTTCTAACTTATAATAAAATTAGACAACTTGCCAACATTCATGTGAACATCTATAGACTTTTATTTTTTAGTTATCATAAATGATTAATACTTAGATAACTGAGAAGTGTCTCACTAAGGGTCCCAGCCTGACATCCTGCGAGCGCTTCCCCTCCTCACTCCTACAAGCCACCACCTCGACCGCAGCAGCAATTTAGGACTGCGACGGTTCRGGCTTTGCTTTATTTATGATACTATCGAAGTGTAGTTATTGGAGTTCAAGTTGCTGCGGTTTTAATGAATATTTAATTTCAGCTGCAAACTCTTTGTGACAAAGGGCGTCACTCCTTTCTGAACGCTATCAAGAAAGAAAACAAACTCTCATATATAAGAATAACAGTTTCAATATTTTATGATTTCACTAGCTTTCCCTGATTACATAGTATTCATTTTGTTTAAAATTCCTATAACGTACACAAAGTAGGGTTACACTAACAGATAAAAGACAATGATAAACTACTAAAACCATTGAGATTGGGTGGAGAAGAGGCATGTACACAATTTAAAGATGGCACAGAATTTAATCCTGCAGTCCTACTTATAGCACGCTCCATTTGCACTGCTATAAAAATAGCYGAGTTGCAAGTGTATTTACTACATACAGCGCTGTCTAGAAGAYGATAAGAATAAAAGGACTTGACATATGCAAGTAACAATTTCCAGAATTACAATAGTTGTGGTTAAAACTTCGCAGTTGATATATAACCCTCTAGCTTCACAGCTAAACATATTTTCAGCTGTTTGAATCTGGGAGCAACTTTGATTTAAGAGGGAGAAAAAAAAAAAAAAAACATGTAAATATTCAGTAACAGATACAGTTAGACATCAGATACGGACTATATGGACCTTGTTCTAATCTAGCTTGTTTTTCCTTCTGTTCATGGAGAGATAAAACAGCCTATCACATCAATATTTATATGGCAAAAAAAACGTAGAAGTCAGATTAATAAAAGAATAATCAAGTTCACCAACCTGTCCTACGTGTAAAATAAAGCTCAACAAACACTGAGGCTATGATCTTCGAAGCACAAAGAGATAAGAGGAGTGCTTCATATCTTCATCTACATTTCCTAGTTACAAAGCCATCTAAGTGATACAGCAGTGAATACCTCTTGTGTGAAATATCACACAAGCACAGCCTAGCAAGATATCAGTAGTGACATTACCAGAGCTTTTCAACTATGCCTTTATACCCTCTCAAAAAGCACACTATTCTGCTGCTGCTGAAGCCTCTTGATTAAAGTACACAAAGCAGCTGTTTATCTTCTCACAGTAACCAGCAGGTGAACCCAGTTCAATATTTATCACAGGCTTTCACAGATCACTGCTAACCAAGCAAACGTTTTAATTAAGCTGGAACTTGCTTCAAAGAGCTCATTCAAAACGTCAATCAGCGGGTAAAGGATCAGATACGGTGTCAGGTGAGAGCATGTAATACAAATCCACAACTTTCTTCATCCCATCGTGGTAAATTAGCCTATTCTGGAGTCCAGACCCTGATTGTAACAGACTGCCAGTCTCCTGGAATGTGTAACAGAAGTCACTCAAACTCTATTGTGAAGGTTGTAAGCAATATGTTAAACTGCAGTGGGCTAGCACATTAAGACAGATTCTTTTCACAGTTGTTTTTTGATACCTCAAGTGTTTATTACACTACTCTCCATTTACTATTTACTTTTTTTACCCAGTATAACTGGGGATTCCTTAACGCAGCTGCCCCAGTTTCTTGTACCACATGCTTTGACAGAAGTAATCAAGAAAGTACCATAAGGGTATAATTTCTCATCTAAACTCACACTAGAACTGTCCTCTTTTTTAAGAATCAGCTGCCGAAGGACATAAATGGATTCCCAGGTGCTAGACTGAAAGAAAATAAGAACAAGCCACTGCTTTGAGCAGAAGGTCCTTCACCTGCTGGATCTACAGATGTTCTTTTGATGCAGCAGCCCTGGGCAGCACTTCTCAGGCTCTTGCAACAAACAATCCTTTCTCTCTCTGCTGGACTATAAAAGTTGACAAGAAATTCACTTTGCCTTGAATACAAAGTTGACTTTGATAAAACACAAGTATCTATCCAATTAAGAAAAAAAATAAAAATAGAGGAACCCCTCTCACATTTTCCAAATTTTATGGATTACTTTAATTTTCATGGGTTTTACTGCACTTGGAAACAACTGCAAATTTTTGCTGTGCAGCAAATATTCAGATTCAGTTTTCAATCACTGTGCACACCTAGTTAGCATTAGTAAGAATAGCTCACATTAAAAGTAAGGGACTCTGTCATACATTTCCAAACTTGTTCCAACTACCCTATCTCTCTATATAAACTTTTTTCATTGCAGTATTGGCAATATCAGCACTGCTCAGGGGAGGCACCAAGCAGCTGGGGAAGTGCAGGCCTTCTTTAAGGACAGACACTTCCTAAAGCAACAGACAAAATGAGTTTAAAAAGGAACAAGTGTAGAGTGGAATAAATGATATGTACTGATTTATTCCATCATCCTAAATACATCAACAATTATAACGGCACTGGGATTACCTCCATTGACTTAAGTCACTTTTTCCAAAACTTTTTTTTTTTTTTTCAGAAAAGCTTAAAAAGTGTTTGAAAATGACATGGTACAATCAACAAAGCTTTTTTAAAAAAATTATACATAACATGATTTCAGTCTAAACATCTTTCTCTGTAGCAGTTGGATTTGAAATGAAGTATTCTGTTACAGCTGAGGGTTTTTTTTTTTTTTTCCCTTCTTTCCCCTCTCTATTTTTGGAGGCAAAACAGCTCTTACACAAGAGTATATTTTTCATCACCATCAGAGACTGAAAATATCAACTAGCAGGCCAGAAAACTCCCCAGTGCAGCTCTTGGATATGTTCCAAATATGGAAAGTGTAGAGAGAAGCCTGGACCAAAATGTCATGATAATACTTCCAGGCTTACTCCGTAGATAATAAATCCAGAACTTCGGCGACCATCCAGTCTAAACTGTCACTCATGCCCTAGATAACTGAGTAAATTCCTTTTTGGCCTGAARAGATATTCTTACTTTTTAAAGTAGTCTTCAAACAAGGATTTTCAGTAATAAATAGTCATTTGTAGTATATTGTACATCTATGTGCAATATCAGATCCATGGAAAGCATGTTATAACATACCAGTCTACTTCAAAAGACTTAGAAACCCAGACTCTTACTCAATTTTTTACTTAACAAATGGTCAGTCCATACTAAAAGTTTTCAGTTTTCTTCACTACCTGAAATTTTTAGAACTTGTAAATCAAGTTTTTTTTCCAGACACTCACAGACAAAGCAAATCTGACAGTCAATGAAGGAAGAAAGGTCTGAAAATCAACAGCACACTCTGGTGGCCTTTGTATTTCACAGTATCAGTTGAATTTCAGTTGCAGAAAGCATTTAAAATCCTACTTGAAAACCTACACAGCTATCACAAAACTAATAAAACATATTACCTAAAACACAGTTTCACTTTGGTCAAGAAATGATTTAGCTAACAGTATCTTGAAATAGTACCAAAGTGTCTGGCTTGCTGAAGTGTTTATAGCAGCAAAGTATACTAGAAAGCTGCACTTGAAGTTAAAACAAACAAACGAACTTTTATTTTAATCATTAAGACACACACAGAGACAAGGGTTGTTGGAAGAGGAGAAAAGAGAATTCAACTGCTGGCTGAAAGCAAGCACATTTCCAAGCATGCATATAAAATCCCTGCACTTAACAGGTGAGTTACCTACAGTGTATTATCACCCCAAAGGGAAGCACAGATGATGAACCCACTCTAACAGGCCACCCTAATCAGAAAAGGAAAGACCATTTCAGCACAGAAGACTGTTACACAAGGAAATACTTCCCATCAATTCCCACCCAGCTGGCAATAAGTACTATCTCAGAAAATGCACTTTCTTGTCCTTTCTAGACATCTCCATTAGCAGCAAAAGCCATTGCAGTTCTCACCATTGATAGTGATATTACACATTAATTTAAACATATTACACATTTATTTAAAGCAAGTTACATACTTGCAGTTTGGGAACCCTTACATTAATTAATGGAGCAGGATGCACACTGCATTCTGAAAATAAATTAAGCCAAGCATTCATGAGCATTTTCATTGCAGCAAAATCATTAAAAAGTTGATCTCTCTTGAACTACCATTCCGGATATAAGAGCTAYATTGCTTTATTACTTACTGTCTTAGGAGAAAACACAGCGCTTTTCACACCTTTTTCAACAGGAACAATCAGCTCCCCATTCTTCCTCTGATTATAAACTTCTAAAGCATCAACTAGCTGCACCCCTTTTGCAAAACAATGACGTTTTCTAATCTGTTGGGAGAAAAAAAAGAGTGCTCAAATACCGTGAACAGAATTATGCATTTATACAGAAGTAGCAGTCAGGTTTTGTTTGTTTGTTTGGTTGGTTGGTTTTTCTCCACTGAGAATCTGTTTTGGTAACGAAGTCTATTACTAATATTCATTAACAGTTTAACCAGACCTATGCCAAACTGAACCAGGCCCCCATTCTAACAATGTTCTTGTTTTCACTGCTATCCTATGTATTTCAGAGGCTAATCAAATGCAAGAATCTTCTTAGGCTTTAACTGAGCAAAACAAAAAGAGGATATTTATTTTTTTCTCAACTATTGAATAATGAATATTATTGAGCAATATTTACTCAATATTGAGTTTGTGTTCTATTATTTCATATTGTCACAAAACAGGTAGAAATTATGATATTATAAACTGAAACAGGAAACTTACATAACAATAAAAACTATTCACATTTTACATCCAAGATACAAATAATAAATCACATCATAGTGTCAACACAGGTAAAACCATTTGTATGTACTGCACTGCACTCCATGCAGTAGGCCAGAGATAACTGCATCAAAATAACTTAATGCAACAATGGAGCCCCCAATAGCAAGTAACAAGAAAAATGATCAAAAAGAAAAGTCAATTTAAATTATGACAGTGACACGGCCCAAATAATCTCTATGCCTTCCTCCAAAACGCTGATTGGTTTTTAACAGCTTGGTTCAGCTATGTCTGAATTATCTCATGGCCAATAAATTTTGCTCACCTGCTGCTCAGTTTCTAAAGAGCGAATCCTTTTCCTGTCTACTTGAAAATCATCATTTTCACTTTCACACGCAGATGCTCTTTTTTTAGCAGACAATTTTGAAGCTAGGGTTTCGGTTTCATTATGTTCTGTAAAAACAGCAAGAGCATGTCCATTACCAAGAATGCACTAAATAAAGGCAATATTTCTAAAAAGATAAATCATTTTACATACAGTTTAGACACATGATGAATGACATAGTAGTGGATATTTCCTGACCCATTTACCATATTTCCAAGCACAGCAAAATCATGTATTACTATCACAATGGCAAAAGAGTCCTATTTTACTTCTAGGACAGATTTTCTCTATCTCCAAAGCAATATGATTAAAATTTGTTTCTTACATTTCTGTTTCTCTCCATAAATTAGACTAAGACATATATGGATACCGAGGTACATATACCCACAGATGCACACAGTATCCAACAAGAATGGGAAAAAAAATCCAGAGAAAGGTTAGAGAGTGGTTACAGATTGGAAGTGTAGAGGCTGTGGTCCAATGGCTGGTTAACACCGCTGCTAAACACAACGGTTGGATAAAACAGCCACCTCACAAAAGGAGGGATTTACTAAAACGTACCTGTGTTTGTTAATGGGGTTTCAGTCTTTATGGAACTTCCTGCTTCATAATCATTAAAAGAACAAGAAGCACCATGATTCACATTTGCTGCAGCCTGTTTGCTCTCAGATTGGGAATGACACGCACAGCGACATGGCAATGAAGTCTCTGGCTTTTTGTCCTCCTTTTCACTTGAGGATTTAACCAGCAACTTCTCTAAAGAACATAAAGGACACAGTCATTTGTCTTCTATTAAAAAATATATATGTACAGGAATACACATTAGAATAGGACTTCCCAAACAGTTAAAATGATTTTGTTCAGGCTCCAGTCTCTAAACACCAGGTCTATAAATGATACACCTTTAAAACATAAATGCATGCAAGCAAGCTTACTCTTTCAGTTACATACAAATGTTACATTTAAATTACATACAAAGCAGAGGTTTACCAGATTGTTTTAAGCTTACCAAACACCACCTTAATTAAGAGAATAGGTACTAAGAAATTTTAAAAAAAGAACAAACACACTGCAAAGAAAGACTTTAAAGTTCCAGACTATTCGCCACATTGAAGCGTAGCTCACAATGTTGTTATCACAGTATAATAAATATGGCAAACTCTGCAAATTACCAAGTTTTTGGATCTTTGACATTGTTTTCGTATATATAAAAAGAGGCATTCTTAAGGAAAGAGAAAAATTTGAAGCATCAGGTATACAGCTATGAGTCACCCAACTCAGAAGCAGCAAAGAATAGACACAAAAGCTTTCTTTCAAATCAAGTTCTTCCCCATAAAGTAGTGCAAGATTTACAAGCAACAACTGGGCAAATGGGCACTGGAATAACTTACCATACAAAGACTGCTGCCATGACAGTGCAGAACAAAGTAATGCCAAACTTTTGCCACTTCCTGTAGGGCTCTCCAACAAACAGTGTTGCCTGTTATTTAGCCCCTTAACAATCTTGGAAGAACAGAATGAGAACAAAAACATAATTAACAGAGAAAGTAAAAAGAACTTTTAACTGCCCTAAAGGTAACTTCTCAAAATAGACCAGGGCACTTGCTGTCATTCAAGCAAACAAATAAAAATTCATTTTCAGGGGTCTATGAAATACTTACCAGTATTAGATGGGGATGACTTTTTTTGTAGCATAAACACTTATAAAACCCCTCTTCCCCCAAGAAATTACACGAATATTACATTCTAATTAAACTATGTGTTTCAGTAGATCAGTTCTTCCTTGTACAACTAGTCAAATAAACATATATATTCTGCAGTACATAACTTTGTTCAGCCTACAAGTCCAAAATGGATTTCAACATTTCAAAACATGATTACTGTTTTATAGTCCACATGCCATACATTCCTAGTCATAGGTTAGATACCACTGTATGGCACAAACGGCTACAAATGGAGAACAAAGAACCTGAATTGCATGTGTCCTTTTTCTAAAAGTTGATAAGAATTGCAAAACATAAACTATTACTTTAGTGAACATCAATATAAATTCTACTTACAGCATTCATCATAGCCAGTTGTGATGGGTAAGCTTTGCAAGGGAATATAATCTTCACTCCCCCAATAGTATATTCCGATACATCAGAAGACATGGCCACTTCTCACCCTGCTTACTGCAGATTAATAACTGCAATGGAAATACAAATATTAACCAGCTAATATTATCAGCCACAGGAAAATCTGAAACATACAGCACCAAACAGAAACAAGCAAGAATTGCTAACCTGATAAGATACTAAGAAAATTGGTGAATGGGAATTTATACTACGTGACATCAGTTCAAAACTGGTCCTTGTTACAAACAAAAGCAAGTTACCGGCATCTGACAAGTAACATTAGCAATTAAGCAATTTAGAAATAATTATGAATGAATCACACACGAAGCAAATATTGGTTAGGATACCATCCCAAAATTCAGGGTGAGCTGGTAGTATTTTAGGATATTTAGTAACTACAAATAATCAGTTTTCCAATTCTGCAGATTATTCACTTGAGCTCCCAAAGCACTGTAAGCTACGGCCATACAACCGAGAGCTGTAGTCTGTAAATGTCTTGTTTCTAACAGTGAGAAAATTAAGACCAGACACTGATTTTAAAAATGAGGTGCCGTCTTTCTTATAGTAATAGTATATTCAGTAATTACTTGGGTGAAAGTGAGCTCTTATTCACTTTATTATTCTGTTTATTCTACTTCCTTACATGTCTCCCTGGAAAATAAGAGACTGCTGTATCTGAGTATCTTGCTCAAAGAAACCAGCCTTATTTCCCCTATCATTCTAAAAAACGGGAATAAGTTGATTAAAAGTATTGAAGAGGGATACATGACGTTTAAAAATACTCTAGTTCTGAAGTGGCAATAACTTTTCTTCTACATCCTCACCACCTACACAACATCTAAAAGTGAATTTAAGTTGGCAGTCTCCCTGCAATACATTAATTCACTAACCTGCGTCCTCATCTGACTCTGAACGAGTAAAACACATGCACCAAAAAGGCACCAGCACAGGGCGCGATTCAGCTTCAGCACCAGCCTCCTCCAGCGGGAAAACAAACCCTGGCCACAGGATAGGAGCGTGCGGCCATCCCCGCCCTTCCACCAGCGAGGCCGCACCCCGCTGCACGCTCTCCCCTCACACGCAGGACGTCTCTCTCACACATTTTACGAGTGGCGACTAAATGATTTTTGCCCAGGGAAAAGCAGGGCCCTGGGGGGAGCGGGTCGAGCCCGAAGGGCGGCGGCAGCCGGGGACAACGTTCCGCGGCAGCCTGCAAAAGGCACCTGGTGCCTCTCTTCTCCACGGRAAGCGGAGAAGAGGCAGAGGGCCCCGGAGCGCCGCGTCCCCCGCGCCCGCCAGGGCCGGCGGAGCCGCTCACCTCACGCGGCGGCAGCTCCCTGCAGCCCCCGTCCTTCCCGCCTCCGTCCCGGCCACCGCCCCGCCCGCCAATCAGCTGACAGGAAAGCCCTCGAGCCGCCAATCAGCAGGCTGCGAACTCAGTCACTCCCTCCCTCCCCCGCCTCCTCTTGAGAGCCAATCGTCAAGGGCCTTGTTGGCTCCCGGGTTTTTCGTCGTTGCTGGGCAACCGGCCGGTCGCAGCGATGGCGGCGGCGCCTCACAGCGCCCCAGGTATGAACGAGGGGCGCGGGGAAGCGGGTGCGGGTCTGTGCCAACATTTTAAGAGACTTMCGTGCATTTATAACAACCTTACGTGCGTTTATAACAATCTTCACCTTTTTTTTCTGGTAAATGGCCAAGAAAAGACTRGAGATCTGCAACTCCCCGGGCTTACTCATGTTTCAGGGGGGGCTTTTTCCCTGTTATCAAACATGGGAGTCAAGCTGATAAACTTGAGTCGATAGAGGCAAAGTAAAAATAGGCACAGCTACAMAGGGATCCAAAACATACACTTGTTTTTACTTAAATATCTACTACAGTATATAAAAGCACAGGCRTAAGAGAAAAAAAAAGAGATACATAAATTTAAGTTATTTACATATTTTACATCACAATGACAAAAAAAAATAATACTCGTAGCAGGTGGATGGTGTTAGCACCCTGGTACAGCAGGCATGCTGTTAAGTCAGGAATGTGTACAGGACCCTGGCTGGACAATTCACTGTTAGTTTTCCTCCATCACACTCCAACCCATCTAATAGAAAAGCTAGGCAAGACAATTCGGACTGTGAATTCTGGAATATAAACTTGAAAGAAATACCTTGTTAAGGACTCCAGCGACTGTCATTTTCAAAACAGCAAATGCTGGATTGCCCACTGGAGCAGTTACAGTGTGTTGCAGAGCTACATTCACTTTTGGCACAACAGCCAGACAATCCTTAATTTTTTATTTCTCTCTTTGCAAATGCTTTTGCTGCCCATCATGAGAGCCTGTGCAGCCTTGAAGAAACTCCCAAATGCTGCACCATACCCACTCTGCCACAAAACAAATCTTTCAAGGCTAAACAGTGTGGTTTTTCGAGAGAACAACCCACTGCTTTCAGGAGAGTTCTGCTCACATTGAGCACAGAAGTATTTCGTCTTCTTGTCCCCCAAGCTGCAAGTCTCGAGGATGTGCTAAAATCTGTTTTTCCATTCATTGCAGTGAACTTCAGCTTCTGTCATAGTAGCCTCCAATACCACTTCCCTTTTTTTAATCTTAACCTAATGACAATTCAGATATCGTTGTACTTTACCTTCCCCTAGGTCTTTCTCATCTCTTTTTAAACTAAGTGCTGTGTTTAAAAAATAAAGACATCTGAGCAGCGTTCAAAATATACATGCTTTAAAAATCTCGCTTACATAGTTCATTTGTAATGCAAAGCATCTTTTAGAAACTTCTAGACCACTTCCAAACTTTTAACGAGGGCTGACTGATCTTAAATGAATTAGTTTTTGATCTGAAGGTTACTGATCTCATAACTGACACCTCAGACAATTGTTCAAAGAGCAAATAAAAATTAAAAAAATCCAACTTTTTCTTATGTCTCAGTGAATTGCCTCAAGGGCTACAACTCGCACCACTTCTAGTCTTCTGGGAGGTATTTTATTCCACCTTCTTCTTTGAGCCCCTGGAACACTAATTCATTTGAACTTAAGCAAAGTTCTCCAACCTCAGGCTTTTCTTGCCCATCGTTTTACTGCTTGCTCAGCTAACCCTATGGTTTCCAAGAAGCGTTATAAAACCATTCATAGGTGTGCTGCTCAGTTCCTGAAGTGATGCAGTGTGCCTACAAATCATGCCCACTATCACTGGATGGGTAATTGTGAGATTTTTTCATGGAAAGCAGCCTAAGCCTCTGAAGAATCTTTTCCTTTGACAGACTTCAACCACAACTGAATCCACTGAACGACAGTCAAGGATTTGCACTCCCGTTTCTCAATCCACTTGTCAGCTCTCTCCAGATTTGGACACCACAGACAGTAATAGTAGCTATGGTACAATTTCATTTCTCTTCTTCCTAAACTCCACTTACACTCATGTTAATTATTTCAATGATGGTGTTTTCAACACATTGGCATAACTGAACATCAGGGTCCATGCTTGCAATGTCCCTTGAACAACTTTTGTAAGATGGATCTTTGCAAAGTCCTAAAATTTCCTTTGGTTTCTCCTTTAGTTGCTGGAGACCTAGAAAATTAAGTTAAAAAATGCAAATAAATACAGCAAAAAAAAAAGTTATACTACACCCTTCATGCAAATACACATATTGTGAAATAGTCATTTTGGGTCAGTTTGAACCATTACTGTTTCATACATCAGGTTTTATTCCATGGAGTACCTACCCCTCTCTCTCCTGTACTTACAAGCTAACAGTACTAAGTTTTACCTTGCATTCAGAAGGCATTTAAAACATTTGCAACCCTGAACATCATTTTCTCCTTGGGACATTATTTTCTGAAATAGAAGATGCCTTACTTACGTGTAATAATTGGGTCGAAGTCTCTTGTCTGCGTGGCAACGTCAGAGGCACAGACTTGCCCTACTTGTATCAGCAGGGACATGATATCCTCGTACAAGGGCGGAAAGGCTTGACAGAACGAAACCAGACAAGGCAGGGTTGGCATAAAAAAGGTATAGCGCTTTGACTGGGTTAAGACTGTCAAGGAAAGAGAAAACAGTTAATTAAAAAGGATCGATTACCAAAATCCAGTYAAGAATTCTTATATTTATGAGCACAACTAACATATTAGCATTTTGGCAAAATTGTATTTGGTCTAGCAAAGTAAATTAAATTTCCACAACGTGCTTAGGTGTCACTGGAATTGCTTACCTGTGAGGAGGGTTCCCATGACATTGATTGCTAAACGAGCCACACTCAGGGATTTGGGTAGTGCATACTGGATACACAGAAATGAAAGCAACTGGATTGCAAATATCTGTTAAGTAGGTGAAAGGAAAAAAGAAACAGACAATAAAATTACAGATGGCTTTGTACTTTCAATCCAAAGCTCCTCAACAACTTAATAGTCAGTAAATATTTCCATTGTACCACTGAGGAGATGAAAACCAGAGAAGCCTTTTAGTAATTACTGTAAAWTTTTTCTGCACACATGAAGAAAGTCTCAGAAGTTTAACATTAATGCAAGTACAAGAATTAATGATTCAGAGCCTCCCCCACAGACAGTTTGTTCCAATATTGTTGGAGAGAAACAAAGCAACACACAATTGACAACACAATCCCTGTAAAAAGCTGTTTCATGTTCCATGTGTTCTGTTTTTAACTTCAGTGAGTGCCTTCTTATTAGCAATAATTAATATCTGCAAAGGGATTAAATGCAAGTATTTAGGAAGTTGGTTTGATAACAAAAAAAAAAAAAAACAGGGAGGGTCTTTGTTTTATTTTCTTAATCTCCCCTTATTACAACATAGCAATTCAAGGCCTACAAATTGTGAAGGGAGTAATAATGATCACTGTTTTTCATAATCACAATAAGCAAATTCCGACTCCTTTGCTGAGCTTATACTACAATTCAGATTCATACACAATAAATTTGAGGAAAACAGCACGTGTCATTCTGTGACATGTTTTGTGAAGGGATTCTTGCATTTTGAATGGGAAAGGAACTAGGTGCGACAGCTGGCAAACAAATTTAAATTCTTTTAGGAATTTGCATTTTATTTTGTAGTTACCTTAATAGTGATCCTTTTATTTCACCAGCACCACCAAATACTTCAACAGTTAACTAATTACAGTGACTTCCAAACTTGATGACTGTACAGTACCTGTTTTTCAAGCTCAGGCTGAGCAATGAGCTCAGGTATGAAATCCAGGCAGATGTGCATGGACGGAATCCCTGCCACTGTCAGGGCCAGAAGTTCACATGGATAACCCTATAAATGTAAGAAAGAGATGTAAATGTAGTCAAAGCTATTTCAAAAATTCTTAACCATCTAGATCTAGATTAAAACATCATTAATGCTGTTGTAACTGTTTAATTCAGGACTTTAAGCAATAAGCCCATAACCCAAAGCAATGCAAGACAGGCTGGTAACACATCCTGGCTCTGAATCAATTCTTTATCCACAAGACTCAATTTATTATTTTCATACTAACTGCCCTTCCACTTCCCAGACCAAGCTAAGCTGCAGCAACCTTTTCCTTTTGTGCCCTTCCTCTCTATTCCAAACTTCACCCCAGGCCACATTTGCTTATTTCACACCTGGATCACCTTGACTTTTCTAGTCACTTCAYTAGTTCCAGGTCACAGCAGAGACAGCCAGCTGGCAATGAACAATTTAACATACGCCAAAACACACATTTACAGCAAAAAAATTGCTCCCCTCCATCCCCGTTTAGGGAGAAGTTCTACCACTGTTTTGGCAGAAACAACCCTTCCTCCACTCTAAACAAACAAAGCATACCCAAACAAAAAAGAAGTTGATATTTGAAGCCAAATTYCAGTTGGGAATAATAGATAATTTTAAAACACAGCCACCAAGAATTAACCAACACAAGATGTTGAAGAAGTAATTACAAGATGATTAAGCAATTTAATTCCTGGCCTCRAATGGACACACTATTTTGGCAGGCAGAAGGGCAGTGACACAAACAAGGCTCATGTTTAATGATGAGGAACAGGCGTTGTTTAGCTGCTCCCCTCTTAGCCACAGTACTCAGTGCTAGCACCGAAAGGAGAAGGAAATGCAGCTACCACAAGGTTGGGGGAATGGGAAGCAGACACGGTCATCACAATTTCAGGGGAACACAACAGCAGCATTCCAACACTTCATTTGGCTCTTTCCTAAGCAAGGAACCAGTAGAGAACTAAAAGAGTGCAAACCAGACCTGGAAATGAACCAGTTTGACTATGTTGGGATCAGCTATATACATCTGATGGAGCAGACAGCAGATGAGGCACTGGACCTCTCGGAGATTACACAGCAAGCTGTCTTCTTCTTCTTCTTCTTTTATTTCAGGGCTCTTAGAGCCAGTGGAACTGTAAACACTTTTCAGCAGGCTATGACTATTACTGCTCTGAGCTTTCTCTTCTTCTGTAGGTAAACAGATTTCCAAAAGAATTTGCACAGCAGCACTATCCTAGGAACAAAATTAAATATAGGATATTTAAACAAACTCTTAATTCCATGCCTACCCACTCCAAGCTTTACCCACTGCAGTTAACATTTATTTCTCCCCCCTACCTGAGCTGCAAGCAGTGCATTTTTTAGTTCTTCCCTGGTAACTTCTGGGGTCTCTGGACCCATGGCATTGTTTTGGGATGGCCTGATGTCCTGCTCTGCTGTTTCCTTGAGGTGAGCATTGAGGTAGGCTTTTGAAGCAAGAAGATATCCATTCAGCATGTGCAAAGTTATATCCATCAAAGGGGGACTCCTAATGCAGAAACATGTTGAAGTAAAGGTATTTCAGAAGGCAGAGCATATGTAGGTAACAACAACAAACTATAAACATTCCTTAAAGATTTARCTTGGTTGTAATCTGGTTCATACTAAAGCTGTTTTCCATAACACACCACAGTACTARTGGTCACTATGAAGAAAATCCCTATGACAAATCCCTATGAACAAAAGAAATGAGAAAATTATTTGCTGTACATGAAACCAGAATAATGATTGGAGTGATGGAGTTAGAACAACAAAGCAGAAAACCTCTATACAACTGTTTCCACAATGCTAAGGTGGCATTGCATTATAAATCTCCCTAACAGTTTCACCCAGGGTTGAATGGACATATTTGGGATCAGCAGAAATTTGAAATCTAGCAGAGAGGTACAAAAATGTACCAAGTCAAATGGAAATTGGATTATGACTAAATTGCTCTAAGACAAGGCCAGACAGATACATGCAAGCACGAATGTGAAGAACAAATCAAGATGACTATTAGCCTTTTATTATGAAGGAAAAATAATAAAAAAGCAAAATGRGAAGAATAAACTACAACTGACAAAAAGCATGAGAAAGTACACTAAAAAAAATAAAGCTACAGGCTGAAGTATATTTAAAACAATTAACATATTTTTAAATAACAAATACATTTTTTTCCGGAGTATGAAAAAGCAAAGCTACCATTTGCAAGTTTTGGTTTGAATTGTTTGCATTACTTCATGTTCTTAAATGTTGCATGGCTGCTATCAGTTAAGAACATTTTTATTACTAAAACTCTCAGCTTATTCTTCTATAACAAAGCCATAAAGCAGTGTTATACATCTCCCCTGTCATCACTGACATCTAGAGGAACTCATTGCCAAGCACTACTAAAATACTTGAGAAATAAATTAAATCTACTTTTGTCATATTCATTAAGCACTCACTTGCAGAAATTTTTACCCAGAAAGATGGAATACTTCCAGACCCATGAGGGATGGCAAAAGACAATATGAAGTGGAAGGATGTAACAGTTAGAACCACCACCATGTGGCAGCAGCCATTTTAAGCATGCCACAATGTCTATTTAGAACAAAATCACATGCACAAATCTAACAAAATGGATGGATCTATGTGCAAATCCATTTGCAATCTCAGTGTTTCCAAAATAGGCCTGGGTGCAAGGTTTGTCCAACAAGACACTCCCCTGGACAGTGACATGCTGAAACAGCACAGTTTAGCCAGCACACCCACCAACAAGCTTCAGACAAGAAAGAGTGAAGCAAGAGACCGAACTTACAAATTCATTCGACTAGTTTGAAAGTGTTTTGAAGTATTCGAAGTTTTCAGAAGTCTACTGTGAGATATCACTATGCATCCATCTAAAGTACCATAGAGCATCAGAAGAAATTAAGAGAGATCTTACCTATGAACTCTCTGATCACATCTTAGTACTATCAAAGGGTCAATCATCAGATCATTCTGAGTGTATTTCTGCTGTCGGACTATTTTTACTGAAGGCTGCAGAGCATTAACAGTCATGACCCACAATCTACAAATGAGATTTTTTTTTTTAGCATTTTAAACATATAACCCGTAAGAAAGAAGAGGATCACAAACATTTGGATATTCACTTATCTCAAGTAGATTATTTTTTCTGAGCCTTCCAAGGAACAACTATATATATAAATATATATATATAAATACATATATATAAACATATATATGCATATATATACACACACACACTGCATTTACAGCTCCTGAAGCTATAATCAACTTATATTCAGAGAAATATCAATGAGCCTGTTTTTGTTGCAATATAGAGTATCTACTTCCTCAAAAAGACACCCTCTTGACAGAGAAAGTATGTTTTAGCTCTATCATAAATGATATATACAATAAAACCATTGTATTATATTTTAAGCCAACTATAGACTCCCTTTCCCCTGAGAACAAAAACTACCTTTTAAATAGAGAACAGATGAAAAATTTCAACAAAGCACAAAGCAATGCAAATCCAGCACAGTCTAGTCAATCACAGCTTCCAACTCCTAGACCCACCCAGTCTTAAGTTATTGTAACACACAAAGGCAGCATGGCACTGTTTTAAAAAATGGAAGTCTGCATTGAATCCATCTGCAATAATACATGGATTAGTACTTTGAACTTACCTTCGTGGCATCACAGTGTTCAGAACCATCCAAAGTTTATTGACTGTCTGAAGAATCCTCCTTGGGACCCCAGCATTTAGCAACTGATTCATATTTGAAGTCARTACTTCTGCATATGGGATCAATTCACCAGCAGAGAGAAGTGTTAAATGTTCTAGAATCTGCATCAACTGGGTATGGTTTCCTGGGAGCATGGAAAAGGCTATAAAATAAATAGAATGAGATTTTCATAAAACTGGACTCTTGCCATTTTAGAAATCCTTCAAGTTCATTGCAGCAGAATGTTTGTTGTATAAATGGAGTGTAATCAAATGATTCAGGTGGATAYACTCCCAGACCCTCTATATTCCAGACAATTAGGCAAGAAAACTGCTTACTTCACATTAAAGTTATTTACCTTCCTGGAGCTGTTTGGGAGAATGATTTTTGGTAATGTTTGTAAGCAACATCCTCCTCAGCAAGGCATCAGTGCCTGTGATCTGCTCCTCACAGATCCAGTCTTCCACAATGCAGAGGTGTGGATAGTTAGTAGCAAGAAGGCGGAGCAGTGCAGAGTGCAAGCCTGAAAGGAGATCAGGATTAAATCACTTATTAAACTGATGTTTAACAAGTTTGATGTTTAGAGCTAAAATTTTAACTTGCAACAAAAAGAAAAGTTACATTTTGGACAGGTGGGAGGACCCTGCAGTAACTTTAAAACACAGTCTAGAATACTTAAAAAATTCTCAGGTAATTCAAACCTACTCTAAATAGAACCATCTTTCCCAAACTTTCAGTATGACTTTCTAAACCTACCTGTAACATCACTCATGACAGATTTTAGAACAAGTACCAAAGAGAAGGCATGCTATGAAACGGAGAGCAGGTGCAAAGCTGGAAATAGGCTTAGCCCTCCTTCTTCAYGCACACTGGCCTTGCACAGATTTACCTCCAAGTTCCTGCTGCAGTCCTTGTGCCTGGCGGATGAGGTACTTGATTGGAATTTGATCCATTAATGCTGAAGAGTAAGACTTGGGTTTTTTTTGCATGGCAGCTAAAGAAAACAGGGACAGAATACTAACAGTTTTAAACTTGCAAACTCAAAACATAAGTTTTAGTAGAATTCTCACATCCTTAGTTTCTAAAATAATACAGTATATTTATTACAAGATTTACACTCCCCAAATAAACTCTTTATCTAAACTTCTTACACAAATTTTGAATTTGACATTAATATGAACTTTGTTTATTGTGAGAATTCATGTATTTGCATCTAACTTTCAGTTCAGCTGTTGCCGATGATCACATTCCCACATACCTAGTGTCTTTGTATTTGCCAGAAGTGCCTCTTCGTACGAGAGGACRTAGTAGAGGACAAGCAGGCGTGTTGTGATGCTGTAACGCTGAGCAAGTCGAGCATTTTCTGCCTGCAYATAAAACCACATTAAAAAGTCACAATGCTTGAGAACAAAAATTTGGGTTTACCTGCAAATATGAAGTAAACCTTGGGTTAAAATGTCAAGCTGTATGAGGTCCAATTTGAAAGGTGTGAGAAACTTTTCTAAAAAAGAGAAAGACCAAACTTTAAACATAAAGCATGCTTTTAGTATCTTAGGATACTAGAATGGACCTGTCCCAGGATTTTAATGCAAGTGAATGCTTGCCACACATTCTCATATGTCTTTAAAACAGAAAGTGCTTCTTCCAAACCTAAGCAGGTTGCTTCAACTAAATAAGATCTTCGATGTAACAGAATCGAGTCAGGAAAAAAAAAGTTTTATGACAAYGCCAAAAAAGAACACTTCCAAATCATATTACTGCTAGAAAGAACCAGYATTCTTTGCAAAGTATTTTCCTTTCTCTTACCCCAGTGAGTCCCTGAAAAACATTCAAGATCTCCTGTTCTGTGACAGGTTGGTTTGTGGCTTCCGGGTTGGATTTAGATGCTGGAGTAAGAATAGAGTTAATGTAGACATCAATAAGAGGAAGCAACTGAGGATGAAGTGGAGTGGTGGTTTCACAGAGCTGCCTATAGATCCAGTCCTAGGGAAAAAAACACACATATCCTTATGTGTTTAGTTTAAAAAATGGATAGTAGCATTTTTGTTTGCACATAAATCCCCAGCTAGGCAAAATGTATTTGAAAGAGGCTTTGATTTAGGAAGGTGTGATACCAGCTCTGAGTTGGACATGGTCATAAATTTCATGAAGAGTTCTCCTGTCCTGCACAGCTCTACCAACAGAATTTGTCCTGGTTGGTAATAATAAACTCCTGGTTGGAAGAATAAGTGCAGAAAACTTCCTTAAGTTCCAGTCTCAGGATTAGAGATAAAATTGGGTACCTTAATTGAACCRTGTTCCTCTCAGATGGCATGGTAAAAGGCAATTAGATTCATCAACAATTCTGCTCAAATTATAACTTCTTAGGTAAATTTATCAAGATAAATAAATGTCTGCAAAAWCTAATCCATTTTCAAATTATAAAGAGAAGTAAAATAAAAGTCATACCTTAATGGATACTTTGTGCTTGGTAAATGACCGGCTTCTTAAAAGCTGGTAAATGCAGTGAATAGGTAAAAACCCAGTGATGTTTCCACTGAGATTGCCTGTAACAGGCACACGAACAGCATGGGCTGTCACAACCTGAAGGAAAGTTACAATTATCAAGAAAAGTATCACAAATATTCACTCAAATCAGCATACATAAGCACAACACAACAAAGTTACAAAACTGTATCTGTTCTCACATATATTAAGTTTTGTGTGCTTGGAAGCTGAACAACTTTTTGACGTAGTTTGTGGAACACAGTATGTGTACAATTGCAGCACATGCATTACATTTGTACACATTTCCTTGCTGCAGCAAAAAAGTAGTTTCATACTGGACATTGCTTCTTCATTTGCTTCCTCAAAATTTAAAAAAGTGAGTGTTCAAAAAAATCAACACACAAAAAGAAAGGGCCGAGGCTCTCTGGCAGCATTCAGATTCTTTTATTAGGTCAAAATGAAGTGATTTTAAAAAAATAAGTTTTGTCTCAAATACCTGTTCAGTGAAAATCTCCTGTGTGAAGATAGTCTTCATTCTGCTCAGTGAGCTGGGCTTAATAACAATCTGAAACAAAGAACATGGTAGCTACTGTTTTACTGCTGTTTTTATTGCTGTACTCCAAGACAAGAGAGCAGCCATGAGTCTCTCTTGGTAAGTTCAGAAATGGTTTAAGTATTATATACATAGATATTTCTTCAAAAACTTTTCAAATAAAACTTTTCCAGACAGTCTGAGAAGGCTTTCAATTAACTTTTTAGAAAGTTCATATTTTCCAAGTATTGATTTCAACAAGTCACCTCTTTTTGAAGGTATCTTTTGTTATAACATCCTCTATATCTAGCTGTATGCACATTTTGATGTTTTTCTAGAGGAACTTAGCTACTCATGTCCTGAGTACACATTTGCTCAAGGATATTAGCAATAACTCAATTTTTATATCAAAGGTCAAATATAGGTGTATAAATACACAGGAAAAGAAGGCATATAATACAGAAATGTATTTGGTGGTGAAAACAACTTAGAGTTTACCTTCATTCCCAAAGTAGAGCAGACCAAATCAATGATAGCACTGAGCTGATTGCTATGGAAATACATTGCTACCAAGAGTAGCATCTCTCCAAAGGAAGCAGACACACCAGAAATGCTATAACAACAAAGAAAGAGTTAATTTCCAGCAGGGCCTAAGTAAATATGAGATAATCAGAATAAAAACCAGAAAAAGTCTGCTCTCACCTTTCAAAATAAGCTTCTTCCTTTATCATCCAACTAAGCCACATTACCATGAGCTGTTCCTGTTCCGGGGTACTGCACAAAGAAATCCCATTAGAGAGGGGTTTTTTCCCCAGTAATTACAGATGGTTTTACTAGTAATAACATTTACAGGCAGAAAAAAATTGGAAGAAGAAATCTTAATATCAAGATTTTTTTTTAATCACTTTCTCTTTAGCATGGCACAGAAGGATAACTATTAGTATCTAACATGCACTTTGAAGTCTGTGCAAGAGTCCAATTTCCTGTCTTGAAAACAAGGGGCACAAAGCTACAACCCATAAGCAACTAGTTTGCTACTCTTATGCCTAGGGTCTTTAAAGAGCTTAGCCACAAACTTGTTCAATGGAAAAGTGAATTACTGAGGCCTACAACAGCCTTCAATACTGCTTCAAACTAACACCGATACTTCCCTCTCAAATGTGTTTACCATCAACCAGAGGGTGAGAAGGGTGAAACATCCATCTACTGACAGCCTTGGAAGACAAATCCCTGCCAACCACTGTATGGAGATTTGCATAAAGAATAAGGAGAGAAGAGAAGAGCCRCGCGGCTCTGGGATGCCACTGCCTTAACTGTGCTCAAGTGGGAACATCTTTGCAAAGCTCCTTCTCTCTGGAGAGGTACCTGACAAGAGTGGAGAAGGCCAGAAGCATGCAGAAGGAGAGAGAGACAAAGCGAACGCCGGCTGGCGTGGCAGGAGGACGGCTGGTCATGAGTTGGAGTAGCTGCTCAGCCTCTTCATCAGTTGGTCTAAAGAGAGAAAAAAAAAATCTTGCCTAAGTTCAAAGCGGAGAGACTTCCAATATCATCACGATGGCTAAAGTTCACTTGCATTTTCTCTGTCTCATGTGTATCTGTTTATCAAGTTAGTATCAATAAATGAGTATCAATCAACTGTGCCAACAGCTGGCACTACTCTTTGAATTATGATTCACATTTTAAAAAAACTGTTAAAAACTTCCCCAGGGCATAATCATGATCATCGTTTTAACCTACTTAAAATTACTAATAAGACTGAATAAAACTAATAAGACTGAATTTTGCAACATTAAATAGAGCACAGCATTTCTTGTACTAATATTATTTTAGGTAAAAAAAAAATAGTGTAGTTTACACATGGACTTTCACTAATAGGAGAGGAAAAAAAAAAAGCTTTCTGCTGAGAGTGGTACTGGAACACACACAAAATACTTGTCTCCACAGACCTTTAGAGTTCTATAATATTTGCTCGCTCTCTACAGAAAGAAACTTTCAGCAGTTGGCAACTCCACCCCTGAGAAAAATGGCATAGCCTGCCACGAATCACTCAAGAACACAATGACATTAGGAGACAGTTCACGTTAAAATTGCCCAAAGCTCCCAACTTCTGCTTAAATTGAACAGACAGCAAATAAAAACACAGCATTAAAACATTCATTACTTCAGCCCAGCAATTCCCATCAAAGCGCAATAGAGACGCAGCAACGCGCTGGCTTTCACAACGTGCTCTTCCTTCAGTCCCGAGTACACAGACACATTTGGCTCTGTATCAACATCTGCTTCTTCAACAATGTGTGTGCTGCGAACCGTGGGAAGGATTCCCATGAGCTCCAGGAGCAGCTGCCTTCTCATTTGCCAAAGCACAGAACTGATATTATCTTTTTTTCTCTGCATGAGAGGTTAAAAGATGAAAACAACAATATCAACCTCATCTCTTCAGACATTTTGTTACATAAGAGCTTCCATAATGACGAAGACAAGTCAAAAGAAAGAAGAGGGGGATTTTTTAAATAAAACTTTCATTACCAGGGTAACTAGCAACACATGATCATGTTACAACCATTTATTTCAGTGAACCACAAGCTTTAACGGACTCTGGCAAGTCAAGACACAACTTCCCCTTGCAAATACTAAGCACAAGCACATACACCAGGTGAACATTACTAATTTATGATCTCCTTGTTTCCATGGCTATTGGATCACGTATCTAAAAGCCTCAGAGGAACACCACATAGCTGTCCTCAATAATACCATTTACAGAGTCTACGGTTCCACAAGAAGAGGCTGCCTCGTAAAGGCTGTGTCAAGAAGCTAGACAGGGTCTATGGGCTTTCAGACAAATGGGCCTGCCTACTGTAACTGCACTAGTTACAGCAACTTAGAAAAACAATTTGTAAAAGCGAATATTCAAAAAAGTTCATACCTGCTGGCCATTTCGAATAAAAGTTCCAAACCACGTCCGAACCTTGGCATTTGTGCCAAGCAGCAAACCACTCACAAAGCACACCAGGTCACTCACTCCATCATCTGAAGATTCATTTTTGGTGTGATCCAGGGTCAAAGCAACACCAAGACCCGGTAGATGACACTCTTCCACCTAGATAAAGCAGACAAGCTCAATCATCTTTTTTTCTAAAGCTCCAATAAGGATCACAATTAACATGCTGTCTCGTGCCAGCATAATTACAGACTCACCACCATGCCTCGGACCCTCAGAGCTTGCGAAGGGTTCATTTTACACAGATGTCGAAGTGCTTCTGTCCTGCGACGGCCGCCAACGCTTTCCTCGTCCTGCCGTTCACCGTTCTTGATCAAACCTCTGCAAACTGAGCGTTTGAGAGGGGGTCTAAGTAAATCCGGCCTTTCCAGCAGAAAGCCACATAAACATAYGCACGCTACACGCACGTGACAGGCATGGAGAAAGTGTCACTCACCCTCATTAAAACTATCAGGAACGTTGGCCACTAGGAGGCACAGGAACCAGGCTCCATTTTTAACATGCAGCAGAGCTTCAGCTACATCAACTATGGGCAATAGCGAGGGCAGCTCTGGGTGGAAAGAGGGTTTTAAAGTTACAGTCAAATTGCAGCTTTTTATACCAAATATCTGTAACGTACCAATTAATGAATGAAAAATTAATCTTTGGTCTATTTCTGTTTCAAACAGATCAATATCTGAAATTAACCTTACCTAATTTAGGGTACCTTACCTAAGTTAGCRTAAGTTTTCCATGCATTTGTAAGAAGAAGCGAAATCATAAGCAAAACAGCACTAACAAAAGCACTAGGAATACTGCACCTGCTTGCAAAATGCAGAGAACATCTGCTGCTTCTTCCAGATAGACAGGACTCTCAAAGAGCTCAGACGACTTGAGAAAAAATTCACCATTTGATTCTGACACCTAYGAGAAAATATTCACCAGCACAGAATGGGCTTCATGAGTCTGTATAACTCAACCGGCACCTGCCAGACTCTCAAGGCTTTGAATTCAACAGATTGAATATATTAAAAGCTGTCAGGAACACACAACTATAAATATAAAATAGGCAAGAAAAAAAATATTTGGGAAAGAAACATTTAGTAGCAGAGATAATAGAGATGGTATTATTACTTCTTTCTAGAGGACAGAAAAGCAACCTACTAAGAATTCTATAAATGGGATGAGTTTACAGGAATAAAACACAGAGGAAGATGGGAAACATGATGGATAAATATCATAAAGCAGACAGAAGAAAAAGCCACAGCATCATCTTGGCATGTCTACACTTACAAATCACCTCGTTGTGTTCGGGTACAGAATGTACAGTATCGTGTGAGAAAGGATGCTCTACTTGCGGAGGGGAAGGAAACCTTTCCCAGGGATGCTGGTTCACCAGGAGTTTCATCACAAGTGACTGGGAGGTTGCATCTGAGTGCAGCAAGTACGGACCAGAGAATGGCACCAGAAAGGGCACCGGGGATCGCTTCAGCCACCCAGGGAACAGTCTCCTGGCTCTTCATTTTTGGTACTACAGGACCTGGTGGTAACACAGCAACATGTTGCACCAGAGCCCCAAGAGGACGGAGGTGCGGGCGTACCTTGTTCATAATAGCGAGCAGCTCGCTGAGCACGAGGCGCAGCCGGCGGGGCGAGTCGCTGTGCTCGAACTCGAGCGTGAGGCCGTGCTGCAGCTGCGACACCAGGACGCTCTCGCCGCTGCCGCCGCCCAGCTTGTGCCTAGGCGCGAGGAGAAGCAGCCGCGCGTGAGCAGCCGCGCGGGGAGCCCCGCGCCGGGCAGGCGCCCCCGCCGCGCCCGCTCCCGCCAGCGGCCTCACCGCAGCTGCTGCTCCTTGCTGGCGTCCTGCTCGAGCGCGTGGAAGTCCACGGAGAGCAGCGCCACGATGGAGTTCACGGCCTCCACGCCCGAGAGCAGCCGCAGGATGAGCTTCTTGTCCTGCGCCCAGCGCTGGCTCTGGTCGGCGGGGGCGCACAGGGCCATGCGCACCAGGCAGGGCAGCAGCAGCCGCAGCTCGGGGTCGCTCAGCGCCGCCAGCCGCACCACGTCCACCTTCTGCATGGCCTCGAAGGCGTAAGGGCTCACGAACTGCAGCGCCGAGCACTCCGCCATGGCGGCGCCAACGGCCGCCTCGCCTCGCCTTCCGGCGCGCGGCGCCGCGCGTCATCGCCGGAAGTGAGGTCACGCCCGCGCGGCCGTTGGGCGGCCGTTGGGCGGCCGTTGGGCGGCCGTTGGGCGGCC